CTCGCAGCCTCGTCGAAAAAACACGACCCATTGATTTGCAAAATCCTCCATTTTGTCGCCGCTGTCGCCAGAATTTGTTTACTTCTATTTTTGTCTGTCTTTCTTCGTGCTACATCCACCCACGTCAGCGAGACTGCAAAAAAACACACACACACAAAAAAAAACATATATGTGCGCCTGCTGGAATCTATTAGCTGACGCGCAAACGGGTTTTTTGCCGGCGATATTTGCTTCACCCGGCGTAGACATGCCGAGAACGAGATTCAAACGAATGCGATGGCCACCACCCTTCCTTCCTTTTGCGCGCCAGACGCGCTGGAAATCAGTCTAAGATAAGGCCGGCTTAACGCTTCCCCTTGGTGATGTCGGTGATGTACGATCGTGTAATCGTTCGCATGTGAAATATCGGCGCCTTGAGAAACATCGCGTAGAAACTTCGTGGCCACGCCATTTTAATTCTTCCTCTGCATGCCGAAATACCCTCAACCCAAGTTGAAAAAAAATATAACGTATATTTAAGTAAAAATGTATTTTTGCAGAAAACTGTGGCCGTCTAGAGTTACGCCAAAACATCCGCGTGCGATTGGTAAACAAGATGATGTGAGTGTACGTCTAATCTAAAAGCTCTCGCGCCACGCGAATTTTGTCAATCAAAACTGAAAAATAAGTTCTCTAAGCTGAGAAGCCGTAAAATAATTTCGGGATTTTATATTAGATTTTAATGCGTTATCAAAGTAAGAAAACTTTATAGTGCCCTAACCAGGCACGTAGCCGGGGGGGGGGGGGGGGGGGGCATGGGGCCCGGCCCCCCCCCCCCCCGCCCCCCGAAATTTTCCAGTTTTCTGGAACCTCCTCTCCCCCCTCCCCCTCATACAGCATTTTGGCATGGGCGCCCCCCCCCCCCCCCCCCCGGAAAAAAAATCCTGGCTATATATATATGTATACCTGCCTGGCCCTAACATTTGTGTATACTTTTTGGCAAACCTCCCGAAACTGAAGAATTGAATGAGGAATGGAAAAAAAGACGTATGTCGTAGCAGTTTAAAAACGTGGATCAAAATCAAATGTAAAGAACTATAGACCTATTTCACTGAAGTGTTTATAATGTAGGGCGTGGGAACATATCGTCTGTAGTAACGTGATGAAACACTTGGGAGATAAAAGAATGTTTCTCCAAATCAACATGGTTTTCGCAAAGGCGTTTCTTGCAGAACCCAATTAATTAAACTCTTTCACGATTTGGTCTGTGCAGGTGAAAACAAACTGCAAACGGGCGCAATTTTTATAGATTTTCGCAAAGCATTTGGTTTATCACCATTTCTTGTTGCATTACACGACTGCTTTAAATATTTATAATACTATACCCGCATAGATAAAAGACTACCTGAGTGAGAGAAAACAATGTGCGATCTTGGGAGGTAAGAAATCTAAATATGTGGGATGTAACTTGGGGTGTCCCTCCGGTGCTTGTTTTGGGCCACTATTATTTTTAGTTTTCAATATTAATATGTCATCCTCTGCCTTTTTCAATATCAGGTTATTCGCGGATGATTGTGTAATTTCGAGAACATAAAGGAATGCCGATGATGTGTCACTATTGCAGCGGGACTTGGATCTTATTTATATGGTCCCAGATTAAGCAACTAAGTTTAAACACAGAAAAGTGCGTTCATGTTACATTTATTATTAATAAGGGTAGTATTGATTCACCTTACGAGCATGGAAGAGACCCGCTACAAAAAGTGTCTGACTTTAAATATCTAGGTGTTATTCTTTCTGAGGACCTGCATTTTAATCAACACATAAATAAGATCCTAAATAAAGCAGGTAGGGTTCTTAGTTTAGTCATCAGGAACTTACGCACAGCTCCCCAAATTATAAAAAAGTGGCATATCGTACGTTTGTCAGATTTAATCTACAGTTTGCAAGCGCCGTGTGGGACCCCCACCAGAAATACTTAATAGATAAGATCGAGGCCATGCAAAATACAGTAGATAGGTTTATTGTAAAAAAAATATTCAAGAAATGAAAGGGTAGCACAAATGAAAGCTTCTATCGATATGAAATATCTGTATACAACATGTAAAAAAAGAACTCACAGTTATTTATGCTATTTCGAATAATCTAACCGGAGTTAACAAATCGGGTAATCTGAAAACGCCCCATTACATCTCAAATAGGAGGGATCACCGGAAAAAAATAGGGAAGTAAAATGACGGAAGACTGCATGAAGTTTTCTTTTTTCCCCCAAATAATATTCGATTGGAAGACCTGCCTGCAGTTTTAGTATGAGTTTATTGTGAATCTTTTTTTTTATAGTTTAAATGTAAATGTTTGATCTTTGAATTGTGTTGTACTGATGTGTTTCAACTTGATATGACGCTAAATTATGTGTAGATGATTTTCATTTATGTTACTGAAGCATACTCTCCTGAACTGTATTTACCTGTGCTGATATAATGGTATGTGACTGATAGTATTGATCAATTGTGAAACTCCCCTCCCTGCTCCAATGCATCGGCGCTGCAAAGTATTTTGTAAACAAATAAAACATAAAATTTTAATATTGACCGAAAATATTTGATTACACAAACACGCCTTAAAAAAATTATGAATCGAATCCGGGTACCTCATCTCCATTGTATTGGGGGGGGGGGGGGGGGGGGGGGTATTATCTTTGGGAATTAACAAATAAATATTACAAGCTCATTTTCTGATGTTGCCATGGTGCGAGCAAGAAAGGTACTTACACATTGTAAACTAAATTTTGATGGTCTGTCAGCCTTGAGTGAAGCAGCTGATGTTTTATTGCCGGTTTGAGTTGAGCGAGTTGGTACATGGTCACTGATGGTGGCGAAACAGCTTGAACACTAAACGATTACACATAGAAACGGGACGAGAAACACATCCAGTTTTTTGTCTGTCACTTGTTTTGTCCTTTTTCTGTAATTGTTTTATGGCTTCAAGCTGATTCCCCACAATCTGTGGTGTTTTATGCACTTCAGATATTTTTTTAATAAATGGGTTTCTTAGACTTCGCATTGTTAACGAACTTCAAACGCCCAGGTAAATATACTCTTTTGTTCCACACCACCAATAAAAATTCAGTAGGAAAGCACTATAAATTTTCTGGACCCTTAAGTTTGAGAAGGTAAAAGTTACTTTCTGGAATCCGTGCGTCAATAATCCAAAAAGAAAGTTATAAATCCTCGTTGTTAAACGAACCCCATAAAAAACCAAGCATCAAAAATCTCATTTCCCCTAGCAGCAACGCCGCGAATGATAACGGTTAACGCCAAAGTTTGGCCGTGTAATGGCTAATCTTAATGGACATTCAGCGCCCTGAAGTAAATCTACATCGACTGTATTCGTTGCCTTGAGGTAGTCGTTTGTAGATATGAACACTGCTCGGATTAATCGCAAATGACGACCTAAGCATAAAAAATCGTATTTCTCAGCCTCGAGAGGCAGGTGAGATTATATGTGCCTCATTTATAAAACTCTCGACACAAGCGCTGACAGCGGATCGAAATTTATTTTGCCCCATTATCAAATGCGAGCACGAAAGCTGAACAAGGAAACCTCTGTAATGACCATCGAAGTGCACTTACGATACAGGTCGCCCCGGGCTCTCGCTACCGTGAAGCGGACTGCGCAATCACGCTACACATGTGAAGTGAATGCAAACGAGTTAGAGATAATGCAATTGCCTTCGGCCGAGAAGCAGATTTTAAGCTAATTGGTGTCGTTGATCACAGACACCGAGAGCTTCGGAAACCAGGGATATACCCTATTCAAATTCCTCAGTTTTCGGAGCTAGCTTTCAACACCGTGTTCCAGCGATGAGCCTACTCTGAGTTGGACTTATCGCAGCCGAATCAAAGCTCCGAGTGATGTAAGGAGTATGGAAGGTAGTGCACATGAAGGAGTTTGCACAAGAAGACACTACTACATTTGCTATCGCCGCAGAATGCATAAGTGGAGGTCGCTTATATTCGTAAAAAGAGCATTGGTATAAATATACTTCTGGCTGAAAGAATAAAAGAGACAGAGTATTCCCATGAAAGAATATGCCCGTCTGTATCGCTTGCTCTATTTTAATTTGTGGTTTTCGTCCTGTTCACGATTTTATCATTGATTATGAGTATTCATTAAGCTGACATTGGCCTTCAAAGCCTTTCGATATAGCAATGACATCAGTTCTCATAATTTAGGCTGCTATTGAAAAAAAATGTGAGGCGAATATGGAGTAACACTGTGTCTCTCAGCGCAGGCGACGTTCGTGCGACGACGGCGCTTCCGAACGAGAATCCCAGGATGAAGACGGATGACTGCAAAAGAACGTGAAACGTTGGGCAAGTCTTGATTTCTTTTGTCTTCCTCAACTATACAAAGCTGAAATACAAAAGCCACCCAAGCTGAAGCTATAAAAATGAATTCGAACTGGACATCTACGAATTAGTACACACTGAATATACGGAAAATAGTACCCCCCCCCCCATACTGAACTTTCTAAACAAATAAAAATGCTTGCAGTTGTCAGCAATTTAAATAATCTTCTTATAATTTCTGACAAATTATAGAAAGTCGGGTGTGGGGCTTTGCAAGCACATCATTGCAGCTTTTTGCCAATTTGGTCGAGGTATTATAAGTGACACATGTGCGGAAAGTCAAATAACAACGAAAGAAGTTAGTGCACACTGAGCCACACGTAGCGTTTCTCAAGTTCTTCGCGGCCATGAAAGATAACAAAATGGTGTAGCACATTAAAATCCCTGGTATGTTGCGAGTTATGACTGAGAGCATGGGACCATGGCAACGTTCACAAAGGGCTGATCAAAAAACAGCAAAAGCGCAGCACAGAACGAAAGGCACGTGATCTCAGCCTTGCTCCGGTTCTTGCCACTTAGTTGGATCCTGTCGTGTGAAAATGACTTATGCATGAAGGAATCTGCTCTCGTTCGAAAAGGTGCGAAATCACAAAGGAACAAAGATCACTTTAAGTGTGACAGTTTTTTAATGTTGAAATATAACATGCTCAACCTTGCTACGGAGGACGGCTTCATTGAAACTGTAGTGTCAGCCAATTATATATCGCAGTTTAGAACACATTTCAAGATTTTAATTACATTTGTAACTTTCATAGGTTTCAACAAAATATCATATTAGAACGCTGCTTTCCGTCGTAGGAAATAATGAGAACACAGCATAGCACCTAGAGCTTTATATCGGCAAGAAAACAAGAAATAAACAAATGATTAATCCGAAGATGAAAGTTATCGCTTTTTAGGCAATTAAAGACAATAATTACCGGCCAATGATGATACCGATAACTTGTTTTCTAAACAGTAGTCGCAAGAGTGTTCGGGCAGTAAAAATAGAAAGGCACTTCAGGATTTGTATTGCACGGGATGTCTTCCTGAGTAGTCACATGGAAGGCTGCGCTCCGCAAACATAAAGGCAACCTACAGTCTAAGCACTTTGAAATCCATGATTATACTCTTATAAATATCTAACACACCTAAAATAACACAGTCATTACAGTACGTACAAAAGAAGGCAAAAGCACGTATAGTGGGAAACTGACGAGTAACACACTGAAACGAAGCGCAGCGAAATGAAAATTTGTATTTTTGTTTCTACTTAATCCCGCAATAACCCCAGAGAAACAAGGGGTATTCTAATTCCCTCCCCCCCCCCCCCCCCCCCCACCCCCTGACAGATAAACTTCTCTGAAGACAGGCATTACTGCCCTTAAAGATGCGTTAAATATTAGTATAAAAAATATCGCTCTTTTTTTCAAATCCTTAAAATCCAGATATATGTACACACAACGCGTCGTGAAGCATCGTGCCAGAAAATCACTTCGAATGTCACTAGTACATATTTGTCAACTTCACCGCGTATCTATCTCATCTCATACAGAGGAGGTTGTATTTTGATTACATGTTGGTTCGCACTGTGGGCTGGTTTGGCGACTCACAACAGTGACGCAAATAAATGGTTCATTGTCCTCCCAGGACATAAATACTTACAACGCATTGGGACATAGTGCATCGATTTTTCCAAAAGCTACATTGCATGCAACTACCATCCTAGCCTCCTTATGAAACAAGGCAAACATAATCGGACACGACATACGTCGATTGTATGAGCATAGGAAAGCTTCCATTGAGATATTTCGACTTGCAATATAGAAGTATACAAATAAGCTGAGTTTTTTTTTTTTTTCATTGGCTGGCTAATAACGGATTTGTAAAAAAAAAAAAAAAAAAAACACCAATAACGCTTCAAAAATGGAAGCAAATAAACACGAAAAGAGTCATGTTTGTTTTGCTTTTCTAGGGAATTTGAAGAACACGCGGCAACAAACATTGACCGAATGCGCCATTGCTAACACCGACCATACCCCTCCCTAGGAGCAGGTCAGAGACGAGCGACCTAGCGGACCCCTAGCCCGCGCCCCAGTCACTCAACCGGTTCACGAGAGGCCCTCTCACAGGGCGACCCCTTTGTGCCCGCACCAGAAGAACGCCGAGCGGAAAGCCCGTCGGCGGGAGCCCCCGACAGCGCCCACTTTTGGCACCTTCTGCAATAAGATATCCCATCAGACTCCCACTGTCGTCGTTCCAATGCGATTGTTTACGAGACGGAACCGAGGCGTTCGCCTTGTTTCGACTATGCACAAGAAACCCTGCCGAGCGCGTGCGTCTGTGAACTGGCGGCGGCGCGGCGGCGGCAGCGGCGTCGCGGCTTCTCGCTCGCCTGCTTCGAAAGCAGCGGGGCTCAGACGTGGTGGCGCCGGCGGGGCCGTTATTCAGGGCACACATACACACGCCACGGGCCAACGGAACATCCGCAGCACGTCGCGCTTACAAAGGGGAAGCCAGCTCTCGGAGGAACCCGCGTTTGTTATGATGAACGGCTCGCTGCACCACGCATGCCAACGGATATCGTGTCTTTGTGCGCGCTACCAGCACAGCGAGGCCCCCGCAAAGGCGATGCGTAAGGACGACCCGGAATCTTAATGCCTTCTCGGCTTTCGTCCCCGCGGTTCTCTCGTCTGAGTCACGAGCCTTCCGAAGTCGCCGACTGCCTGGGCGCCTCGTTTCCATGTCGAAGCGGTGTTGTCTCGCGAGTTGGGCCCAGACGGTCACCTCTCTCGTTCCGAAGCGCTCGCTGTCTGTGTCGCGTGATAAGGGTAATTGAGAACGGCGAAAGGCGCAGTTATGCTAATGAGGCAATGTGTGCGGACTCTTGGGCTGCTTATCGGCGGCCGACGCATTCTCAAATGTAAAACAAAAGCTAAATGTTGCTTTGTGAGTCGTCAAAAGAGCGTATTTGACTGAGCCGTGGTACCTTAGCTTATTTGAATACTCTAACGAGTTTTCTCTTTGGACACCTCAACTAATGGAGATGAAAAATAATTTAGAAATGTATTGAAGGCTTTGCCGAAAACATGTCGACTGGACATAGGTACGCTTGATCGCTCCTGATGAGGTTAACTCCCAGGGATGAACAAATGGAACGTTATATTGGTTAATGTTTTTGATAAAGTGTCACCTTCTAGTTATTTAAAAAGTCCATACGTATATCGGTTTGTTGGTCGGAAACATTTAATGAAAATAACCCTCAAAATACCTAAAGTTTCGAGGACGGACTACTGAAGAAACTTGATACATAACTAGCATCACTTACTGCAATTCATTAGTCTTCTACGGCAAGGTGCAATACTGAAGAAAGATATACTTTCATTACAGCTTAAAATAAGGCTGTAAACCTTTCTCACTCTTTGAACAACATACGAGCTTGTAGTAAGGTTTCATATGGGTGTATAGTGTACAAAATTGTCTCGTTCGCAACAAGTTAATAATGTCTGTCTTCAGAGCAGCTTCGTCTATCCATTAGAATTAACCATTTCGCTACGCTGTTAGTGGCATTGGCAACATAACTAGCACAAAAGCAGCACAACAAAAAAGAGTGAAGAAGAAAATAGGTTCTGAAAAGTCATACGTATACATGCTTAAAAGCGATAAAGATGAAACTAATCACGAAGTTTGTACGTATAGCCGGGCGTAAGCTCATTCGGCGGCAAAAGTATGCGCCCACTGTTCCTAAGCCAAATTTACGAAGATTGAAACGCTCATTACGACATGATTTACCTCACAAGGGGGACTAATTAATTATGAGTGCAGCTACTCACCCTTTTGTTGTAGTGACCCCCTCATTGAAGCGGCGAATCCAAAAACCTCGATTTAAAACTCTGTGCTAGTATGTAAGCAAGACATTCCGAAGTACCAAAGGAACACACCGCACTAGATGCATAAAAACTGGAGACTCGCAATTTGGAACAGCACCGGAGAAAGGATGTTTCCGGTTTTCAGCAGCTCAGCATCGAGGTCAAAGCTCATTGCTTGACAAGAACACCTCACGCACGCTCAGAAAAACGATCAGGTCAACTCTTTGACGCATCTGAAACACATCCCAAGGCACACGAGCGTTCCAACATATTATAATGAAGATTTGACATCTTGCATACGAGATTCAGCCGCTCCCCGAACAATGACAACTATCTTAAAATGATGAGGGAGATCTTCAATCAATGATACGAATGAGACGATCACTTAACGGACGGTCGATCGATTGACTCCTTGTCCACAAGGATGCGTTGTCGTTGAGACGAACTTTTAGGTACACGAGATGACCAGGTTTCCACACCTCGCGGAGCATTCGCGAGAAGCAGTTCGAACTGTTCGTTGTGGTCAGCCTGTTGTCTTTGAAAACATAGGTGATTCCTCACCACATCACGAATGGGAAGCTGTCCCACATGGCTTCATTTGTACCCCTTGCGTAAGCGAAGGATCGTTCGGAGCCTCGTAGGAGTCGTCGGGATCGATGTTAGCGTCGTCCTCCACGTCGCTGTCCGAGCTGTCCGCAATGTCCGCCCTCTTTGTGCTAGCGTCGCTAGAGGCCATCGACGAAGACTGCAGGCCGGCGTCTCTGTCGGGGGATTTGCCTCCCTTAGCGTCGAGTCGAGCTTGCTCGTTGATCTCTTTGACGGCGCGGAGCTCCTTCTTGAGCTTCATGCGGCGGTTCTGGAACCAGATCTTGATCTGGCGTTCCGTCAGACACAGCGCGTGAGCAATCTCGATGCGCCGCCGCCTCGTCAGGTAATGGTTAAAATGAAACTCTTTTTCCAGCTCGAGGGTCTGGTAACGTGTGTAGGTCTGTCGACCACGGCGTCGGGGACAGCCGTTGGGTCCTGTTGGAGAGCACCGAAAAAAAATTAATCAAGATGGCCAGGAGTAAGAGATGCTCTCTTACTGAAGGTGTAGGGCGCAATTACATGCCGCCTTTATAATTTGTTTTCGCTACGCCAATTGCTGCATTTATTTTGCATCACGGTCGCAAGAAAAGAGCGAAAGGAAAACAAAAATAATTAAAAACTGATGAATCAGGAAATACAATAATCAACAATGCAGCGAATATTTACAGAATGTTATTGATACCAACTTTCGCTGGTTCAAAATTTTGGGCGTAAAATAAATATGTAAATGTGCGTACTATATCAGCATCATTCTAACCTTCACTCATTGTGCTATATTGAGAGTAATAGAATTCCGTTCGATGTATAACATTTTAGAATGGTCTCGTGTTACCTTCTTGAGCACAAGCCAGATACTTTATCTTTAATGATTGTTTCGTTGCATTGATATCTGGTTCAAGGCAAACAAATCTACAGCAACCAAATAAAATAGCAAGGCAACATCTCAACCCTACATAGAGTTACTTAGATTTATACAAGTCATATTCGATACCAGACCGAGCTTCAAACGACAGGCGCCCTCAACGGGCGTGTCGTAGCGTAATAACTTAAATATATTTTCTTGTTTACCTCGAGTAGCACGTCCACAACCCATACTAATGACTCCACTAAGTGTGAACGGATGATTAGGAATGTGATAAGTAGAAATATAAAGCAGGAAGATTTATTAAGTCAGTCCACGTCAACGTTACGTGTTCACCGCAGGTTCCGTCACTATCTTTGATAGCTTGAAGACTTTATTTCGAAAATCTCTCTAGCACCATTAGCAAGGAATGCTTTTAGTCGTTATGAACGTGATGCGTGTTTCAAATAGTGTTTAACAGACTCACTTCGAACATTTTTCTACGTGCGTTGTACCATGGTTGTTCGGATTCAGAAATAGGATACCAACTTTAAAAAAAAACACTAATTATTGAAGCCCGCCTTCAGTCTTTCGTATCATGTTTAACACATGACACGTAAAACGACAAGTTCTTAAAAAAATAAAAAGAAACAGACCCATAAACACACCTGAAAATAGATGGAAGGATGGAGGGTAGTCCTCGACTCGGTGATGGCGCTTGTGAATCGCTGTCCTGAACGCCGACCCTGTAAATGTAAACCCCAAGCGATGAACAACCATGCATGACGCTCAAATATTATACGCGAAGATTCCATAATAAAATGAATTTGGAAATCCTTTCGGAGACACACCCGAACAGTTATTTTAATTGATATGATCTTTCTCTTTTGCTCTCTCTTTAAATTAATTTGACAAAAAATCTAAAAAAAACTATATTGTTTGCTTTAAATATATTCAGTCTGATCCGTGCAAACTTTATTTTTGTTGACCTTTAAATATTTCAGATAATTCACCCTTTTCAAAGGTCCATCAAGCAACCTTGGCGGGCGCCATTGCTTGGGCACGAAGCGCGGGATTCGATCCGTGTTTCGGCCGAACGCCGACGCCATACCTCGGCAAACCTCACTCATGAGGGCCCTCACTCACCCTCACTCTCCCTCATCTTCACAGGTGAGGTGAGGGTGAGTGAGTTTCTGAACCAGGAAAATTCATGAGTGTGAGGGTGAGTGAGGGCTGTGAGGGCCGTGAGGGCGGTGAGGGCCGTGAGGGCCGTGAGGGCGGTGAGGGCCGTGATTGCCGTGAGGGCGGTGAGGGCCATGAGTGCGTGAGGGGCGTGAGGGCGGTGAGTGGCGTGAGGGCCATGAGTGCGTGAGTGGTGTGAGGGCGGTGAATACGTGAGGGATGTGAGCGCCATGAGTGCGTGAGGGCAGTGAGTGGCATGAGAGGCGTGAGGGCCGTGAGGGTGGTGAGTGCATGAGGTGTGTGAGGGCCATGAGTGCGTGAGGGCGGTGAGTGCGTGAGGCCCCCTTCAGATCGAGCATCTTTCTCAGCAATTTCGGTGTTGATGGCGGGTTGTTCTCTAGCTTTCCCTAGATCGACACGAATTGCTGAGATCGGGTCCGGCTCGAAGTTAGCAAGCAACTCGAAGCAATTCGAATACGTTTGATGCGGCTGCATCCAATCAGGGACGCAAAATTTTCACGCGATACCTCGTGCCGGTGATGATGACACCGAATGACTTGACTCTGGTTTGAAATCGATCGTTTTTTTTGGAAATAAACTGTTTAAGAAAGGTGCATTAGTATTGTTAACGAGGTTTAAATGCATAAAAATACGTTTATAACGCGTAATTGTGTCTAAATAGTGCAAGAAAAATAAAATGTTATGATGACGATGGCAAATTGCAGCAATTGGTTGCTGCGTGTGTTCGCGGGCGGCCCGTGTTGCTGGTGTTGCGACGTAAAGTTTCTGGGCGAAATTGCCCCATCTGAAGCTGGCCTGAGTGGCGTGAGGGCCATGAGTGCGTGAGGGGTGTGAGGGCCGCATGGGCGGTGAGGGGCGTGAGGGCGGTGAGTGGAGTGAGGGCGGTGATTGGCGTGAGGGCGGTGAGTGGCGTGAGGGCCGTGAGGGCGGTGAGGGCGGTGAGGGCGGTAAGGGCCGTGAGTGCGGTGAGGGCGGTGAGTGGCGTGAGGGCGGTGAGTGGCGTGAGGGCTGTGAGTGCGTGAGGGCCGTGAGGGCTGTGAGGGCCGTGAGGGCAGTGAGTGCGTGAGGGCCGTGAGGGCGGTGAGGGCCGTGAGGGCGGTGAGTGGCGTGAGGGCGGTGAGTGTCGTGAGGACCATGAGTGAGTGAGGGGCGTGAGGGCCGTGAGGGCGGTGAGGGGCGTGAGGGCCGTGAGGGGCGTGAGGGCCGTGAGGGCGGTGAGTGCGTGAGGGCCGTGAGGTTCAATGAGGGTGAGTGAAGGGCTGAAGGTGAGTGTGACTGTGAGGGTGAGGGTGAGTGAGGGGCTGAAGGTGAGTGTCGCTGTGAGGGTGAGGGTGAGTGAGGGGCTTAGGTGAGTGTGGCTGTGAGGGTGAGGGTGAGTGAGGGCGACCTAAAATGCCGACCACTGGCCGACGCAGCCCTCGTGATCCATACATGCTTGGAGTACCTGATCAAGCGAGGGCGGACAGGCAACGGGGCGGTCCTTTGAAAAGGGTCTATTGTCCAACTTATTCACATATATAAACAAAGTCAACCCATTTATGCCACTTTCATTTGCAGAGGGCTAGATGCAGCACTATTTGAGTCTAATTGCGTTGCAAGGTTTTGTCTTTATTTTTTTGGTTTTTGAAGGCTAGCATCTCAATCTATCAGTGTACTAGCATTTTCTAAAATATTTATTTTGCCCGAGGTATCTCATCTCCAATTTGTTTTTAAATTAGAAATGCTACTTCCAATATAACAAACTATGTGTCATATCTCAGCCTCTATGCATAAACAATACATAAATAAATGAAATGACACATATTGCATTTATAGGCGAGATCGAAAAATGAACGCTAGCTTAATGATGACAATGTAATTGATGCAAAGGTGCAAGCAAGCTGGACAAGAATGACGAAAATAATCACTGGAAGACGGGATTATATTTTGTCATTCCTGTCCAGCTCGCTTGCACCTTTACATTAATTGCATAATCATCGTAACCTTAAAATGCAGGCCGTTCACCCCTGTTTGCGTTAGACTGGCGGACTGATGAAGCCAGTCTGCTCTACTGACGTATAACTCCTGGTGAGCTCAGTTGGAAGAGCGATCCGCTTGAAATGGAGATGTCCCTCCCATAGAAAAATATTCTATAATCGTCTATGGAAAAATGTATGGCAGGCTATCACCCGCTATGACCCTCTAGGTCGGCTATAGAAATCCATAAATACAGCTATGGCCCTGAGTGTAAAGACTGGCAACCAAAAAAGTTCGTACCTGTCTATAGAATAATATATGGCCCGTGTCTAAAGATTGGCAACCAGTAAATGTTCTTTACCCGCCCATAGAGCATTCTATGGCCCCGAATATAAAGACTAGGAACCTTCTTGTTCCCCTTCTCCAGGGATTCTTTTTGACTAGCGTAAGGGCTAAAAAAACTCTTAAGGTAGCCTCATATCCGAGAATGTTCCGAAAATGGATAATCAGCATTTTGTTATTTAATTGACTGGTAATTTAAATTTAATTTGTTGCAATTTTACATGATTACTTTTGAAGAAACTGGAACGGGATCGATGTCATTTTCAAACTGTTTTATAGCGTTATTTGCTTGTGAGCTTAAGACATTACAGATTTTTGAAATAATGAACAACGATCTTAAACCAAGATGATCATAACCGATCTTACTGCTGAACTACTGGTAGCTTCCATATCGAAAGCTTCGCTGCTCAAACCCTTCCATCGCATTGTTCAAACTGAAATGAGCGGTATTTCAAATGCGTGTCTGCGTGATATCCGTGTCTAAAAAATTTTCTTAAAATACATAGAGTATTCTCTGGTTCGCTACAAATTAGGGAAAGTATGTTTCAGTTATATATCTATTGAAAATAAGTCATTCTAAATAAAATTGTATTCAAATTAAATTTTCAACACTTCTCTGTTATGTGATTTATATGCCCCGTAAAAATAATGGGATTTAGACCTTGCCGTGGTTTAAGCACATAAGCGTCTAAAAAGAATGAAGAACTCATGATGGACCGACAGGGTAGAAATACTATATCTTTATTTTAGATGTTTTTAATATTGCGTCCAAAAAGGCTCAAAATTAATGGCATGTCTAAAAAGGCTTAATGTTTAAGAGGCGCTAGAAGCTTACCTTAGAAGCTTACCTTAGCAATTAAGCTCGTACTAAACGTATATACCAAGAATTTTTTTTTTCGGTGTACTTGTCTATTCCATTCCAAACATGTCTTTGTTTTGTATCTAAAGCAGCTTGTTTTTTAAGCACTTGACTATAGTAAAATATGTAACTACCATATTTTAAACGCGGGTGTTTTTTACTCGGAGTTAAATGTAGGTCAAGTATCTCAAATTCTTGCAGCCAAATGTATTTGACAAAATATTTGAAGATGAGCAAGTATCCTTCGTTCTTTTGTACCTTATATTTAAATATTTCTCTACGAAAACGATTGCATTTGTAATTAAACACATGTTATATTAGCTACATAAATTTAGGAAGTATTTTGCTCGTCCTATTTAGAAGAATGAAAATACTCCACATTTTAGTATAAGACTTGAGATAAAACAAAATCGTCCCGACACAATTAGGGTTCGCTGTAGATTTCAGAAGGCGAGTAAGAGAAAAAGCTGTTTACGAAGGCGTGCTTTTGCATTTATGAAGGGTTGAGTAGAAACACCGTTATAAATGACACGTTGAAGTCAAGTAAACACACATTAGATATGTGTATAATGTAATCCCCTCATTTGTATTCTGGAATGAGTTTTTGAAGGTATATATAAATTTTTAATAGAAAGATCCGCAGACGGTGGCTCATGGTGTAGCCTAAAGCATGACGCCTTGTTAAATTATACATTATATATGTTGGAATTGTTTCTTTTATAGAATCGGGAATATCGGGAATCGAATTTTCTATCACAATAGCCACCTCAAAGAATCACTGCTATCACCTCCCCATCGTATTTTCCCGCGTCTAGATCACATATGTAAATTACGTCCAATTCGATCATCAACTGTTTCTCACCAGACTTCCACACTACCATTCGCCATCGAGGATTGGAATTCACTACCTCATAACATCGTTTGTATTAATGATACTACTAAATTTGTTGAAGCCATTACCCTCTCTTTATCTAACCTACCTAGCTAGCTTACAGTGTTATAGTTGTGTTTACTGTTCTATTTGTTTTTGTTCTATTGCCATCCCCTTGTATAATGCCCCACGGGCCCTCAAGGAAAATAAATGATGATGATGATGATGAGTATAGTTGATGAAATTACTCGAACATAGCCAGGTCAAGCGAAGCATTCTTCTTCTTAAGTGCAATCAATATAGCGGAGTGATAGGAAAGGAAATGTCTAGAAAGAAAAAAGAGAACTGATGCGAAAACAAAAAAAAAGTATTTACAATATTAAGAGCAGGTATCTATAAAGCGGTAATCATATTGATTAGCGCGTAATAATTTGTAATATTTTAAGTTAGTGGTTGCAAATATATTTCTGGTGGGGTGGTGCGTAGATTTTTTATAAATAGTGCTTCAAAGGTGA